TGAGTGGTTATGCAGTTGGAGGCGAGGTTATTGCACAGGGAATATGGACGGCTGACAGGGTGTGCTCAGACTCCTGGAGCGTCTCCTTGCAAAGCGGCAGACACACACCCTTGTGGGTAGAGTAACCCACTGCTGGCAAATTGATTGCAACTCATTAGAGCTCGAAGATGAAAGAATGTGTAGGGATATGGCTGGTGTTTAGCCTGTCCTTTTACATGACAGACAGGTTCTGGAGATTTGCACACTCAGCAGAAAGACTTTTCGGTCACACTTTGCCCACACTGACAAAATGATTTCTGCCCCCTCCTCAGGCCAGAGCCCCAGCCCCAGGGACAACACGGATTTGGCAGGTCACTTTTGACACTAGTCTGAACATAAATCCCTCAGAAACTGTTTCTGAGTTACTGATGTGCCAGGAAGCTAGATGCAGCCTTCCTCCTTTTTAGATAATAATTCTCAAAATTATTATTTCCCAAGTATTTTTCTTCCCAATTTAGAATCTATGTTTCCTCTTGGTTAGCCTGCCCTTCTAGGTACAAGTCTGCCCCCCAACCTTTACTCTCGGCCCTTCCCAACCCTGACGGGCTTGCTAGTGCTGCCAATCCCACAAGGAGAATGAAGACCCAGCAGATTTAGAAAACGATTTGTCTCTCCACCTCCCTTTCTTTGAGATCCAGAAGGCGCATTTGGAGAAGTTCCCTCTTTTCTCTCAGACAGGCCATGCGGGTTTCTCAGAGACGGATGATCTCCATTTCCCAGAGCTCTTTTCCTTCCTCTGTAAAATGAAGGGATGTTTTCAAAGGCCCTGCTCACTTTTTACATGGGGACCCAAGAAATGGCTTTTCCAATAAAAGTTCCAGAGAAGAGAGGAGCCATAAAGCATGTCATCCTGGTGACAAGTTGGTATGGCACAAAGGGCCCTAGGTCAGCTGTGGGGTTAAGGGTAAGAGGGAACCCCACAAAACATCACAGGTTTGGTAGGCGCAATTGTACAGCGATAATAAGTAGAGATTATAGTAAAGTCATAGAGAACATGAGAGTTAAAGGATAGAGTCAAGTAATGGAGTCAGACGCAATTCATGGTAGCATATCTCACCTCAACCCGGCTTGATGGTCCTCGTGGAGGGGGCTTAGCCGTCAGAGAAGAAGCCGCTGCTTCGTCCTCCTTAGTCACCTTCTGGCCACCCTCCTTCGTACCAGGGAGCCTCGTTATTTATTGCTCACCACGCAT